CTTTGATGTATTTAGAATGCCTTTTTGTATATGCTATAAGACTCTTAACTTCATTCTTGTACATCCAGTTTTTCCAGCATTATTTGGTAAAAGCCTCTCTTTATTGAATGGTAATGGTCTTCTTGTCAGTAATTATTGGATCATATATATGAGGGTAGATATTTACAATCTGAAGTCTCCATTCTATTTCACTGGCGTGGATATATGTCTTTATGCTATTAGCATGCTGTTTTGATTACTATAAGTTTGTAATATGGTGTGAAATAAACCTTAGATGCCTTTCATGAATCCCACTTGGTCATGATGTATAATTATGTTTATATAGTTTTTGAATCAATTTACTGATGCTTTGTGCTTTTGCATTTATGTTCATCAGAGATATTAGTATATACTTTTTCTTTACATTTTTGGTTTGGTATTAGAGTAATGTTGGCCTCACAGAATTAGATAGGAAGCAGTCCCTCTGTTTCTGTCTTCTGAAAGGAGTTGTAGAGAATTGCATATCTTCTTGAAATGTTTATCATATTTCACCAGTTAACCAATCTGGGCCAATTACATTCTGTTTTGGAAGGTTATTCCTTATTGATTCAGTTACTTTAACAGATATATACATATTTAGATTGTGCATTGTTGTGTGGGTTGTGATAGACTGTATATTTCAAAAAATTAATCCATTTCATTTAGATTATCACATTTATGGTCTTGGAAATGCCCATATATTTCATTATGTGTTTAATGTGCATTGTCTCTGCAGTGGTTTTTCCTCTTTCTTTCTTTAATTCTTTCTTCTCTTTTTTTGGCTATGCTTCGAGGCATGTGAAATCTTCATTTCCAAACCAGGGATCAAACCGTCCCCTGCAGTGGAAGTACAGATACTGGAATATTGAGGAAGTCCTCTTTTATTTTTGATACTAATAATTTATGCCCTGTCTCCTTTTTGTGATTAACTGGACTAGAATCTTTTTTATTTTATTGATCATTTTAAGGAACCAACTTTGGCTTTGTTGATTTTTATCTTGATTTTTAAAAATTATTTCTTCTTCCTTTGGATTTTATTTTCTCTTTTTCTAGTTTCCTAAGGTGATTGCTTTTAGATCTTAATTCTTTCTAATATATGCATTCAGTGCTATAAATTGCCCTGTAACCACTGCTTTCACCACATGCACATTATTTTGAGAAGTGTTGTGTTTATTTCAAGATACTTAAAAATTTACCTTGAGATTTCTTCTTTAACCCATGTTTTCTTTGAGTTGTTTAATTTCTTATTGCTGTGCTATTTGCCAGCTATCTTTTTTTTGTTTGTTTGTTTGTTTGTTTGTTTTTATTTGCCAGCTATCTTTCTGTAACTGGTTCTAGTGTAATTCCACCATACTCTGAGAACAGACATTGTCTGATTTCTGTTGTTTCAGATTTGTTAAGGTGTGTTTTTTTGGCCCATGGTGTTCTCTGTCTTATAAATTTTCCATGTCAGCTTAAGATTATTCTGCTGTTAGATGGAGTAGACTAGTAGTCTGTAGAAGTCCATATATCCAGTTGGCTGTGCTGGGTCTTCATTGCTGTGCAGGCTTTCCTCTAGTTGCAGCAGGAAGGGGTACTCTCTAGTTGTGATGCACAGACTTCTCATTGTGGTGGCTTTTCTTGTTCAGAGTACAGGCTCTCAAGCATTCAGGCTTCAGTGGTTGTGGCTCCTAAGCTCTAGAACAGAGGCTGTGTAGTTGTGGCACACAGACTTAGTTGCACTGTCGCACGTGGGATCTTCCCAGACCTGGGATTGAACCTGTGTCTCCTGCGTTGGCAGGTGGATTCTTTACCACTGAGCCACCAGGAAAGCCTCTGGTTAGATATTAATATAGTTAATAACACTTTATTTTCTTGAATTCTGTTACTATCATTTTACTTTAATGTATATTCAGGTTTTATTTAAAGTACATTTTGTTGTTTTAAATTTCATTTACTTAAAGATTTGTTTTGGCTGTGTTTGGTCTTTGCGGCACACAGGCTCTGGAGTGTGCAGAGTCAGTAGTTGCAGAATGTGGGCTTAGTTCCTCAGTGGCATGTGGGATTTTAGGTTCCTGACCATGGATTGAACCAGTGTCCCCTGAATTGCAAAGCTGATTCTTTATCACTGGACCACCAGGGGAGTCCTAACCCCCTAAGGGGTTAGACAACGTATGGTTGAGTCCTGTTTCTGAATCCACCCTGATAATCTCTCTCTTAATTGGTACACTGAGACTATCGATGTTTAGTACATTGATCCAGTTTGATCAATACCTAACGTGTTTGTTACCATTTTCTAAAATTGCCCTTGTTTTGCATTCCTGTGTTAGTCTACCACGCCTTCTTTTTTGGTATTAATTGAGCATTTTGTATGATTTTATTTTCTCTCCTTTGTTAGCTTACCAACTATATTTGCCTCTCTCCATTTTTTTATTTAGTGGTTCTAAATTTGTGTTATGTATTAACAACTGATTTGAGACCATTTCCATATAGTCCTATATGACTTCATGGCTAGTTTGAATAAATATATATTTCTGTCTTGTGGGATCTTAGTTCCCTTGCCAGGGATCGAACCTGGGCTTCTGGCAGTGAAAAATGTGGGACTGTAACCACTGGGCCACCAGGGAATCCCTATGTAATTAAAAAATATCCTAACTGAGGTGAGGTTCCATGGTTGCCTAGTGGATAGGTGTTTTTTCACTTCTGTGGACCAGTTCACACCAGCTGTTATCTGTTAGATATGAAAAGATATTTTTCCAAAGGAGACATGCTAATGGGAACCTTGTACATAAAAAAATGCTCACTATTACAAATGGTAGGGAAAATGCAAGTCAGAATGACGATACTGCATCACACGTTATAATGTCTGTTATGAAAAACACAAGAAATAATGTTGGTAAAGATGTGGTGAAAAGGAACCCCCTGTGCATTTCATTTTGATCCTTTGTTAAAATTCCAATCTCTCTGCTTACATTGTCCTTCTAGTTTCAGTGCTGTCTGCCCTATCCATTAGTAGACATTAATTAGCTTATTAATCATAATTGTTTTAAAATTACCAATTTCATTCCAGTATATCTGTAGTATTTGATTGTAGTTTTGAAGCTTTGTTTCTTCAAACTCTGTAGACTTTGTACGTCTACACTGTAGAACTTCAGTAGGCTCATTAGTTGCAAAAGAGTTATATCAGTTAGATTCTGCCAGAGCAGTTATGTTTATGTGGGGAGATGAAGTCTTAAAAAGTTTATACTCCATCCACCGTACATCCTTTCCTGTGGCTCCAATAGAGATTATTTATTCATTTATTCATTTTAACTTCTTATTTTATATTATAGTTTGGTTGGTTTACAATGTTGTGTTAGTTTCAGGACACTTTTTATAGTACTTAAAGGTTATTTAAATGTTTTCTTTGTAGTATTTGATGTCATGTATTGTGTACTGAGTTCCTCTGAGCCACTCTTACTGTTCTTTTGTCCTAACTGTTAGGACTTGCATCATTTTGACTCAGGTAACTGGGAATGGAGAGTCCTTGGGCCTTATGGGATGACATGACTCTGGTCTCTGCAAAAATGCTTGGAGATTCTCTGGCCAAGATGAGTGTCAAGTGGGGAGGGACTTGTTATCAGGTCTTTGTTCGTCATACCAGGAACATATGACTTCTGTCCTTTGACAAGTGTTGTGGTGCCATTGCCAGTGGCTACAAATGACTTCTCTTGTCTTTCTCTATTCTTGACATTCTGCCAACTTGTCATTTCTACTGCTTTACATTCTTAGTCTGACTCCAGCCTGGGATTCATCTCCCACCACCTCTGTAAACCTCATGTGGTCTTCACATTGTTTTCCCTGTGTTACTTGGTGGCAAAATTGTTTTATGTCCTCAAACATGCATGTTTGCTTTACTGTTTGTTGAACTCCAGCTACATGTTGCAGCTAGATTTTCAGTGGCATGGATGTACAATATACTTCTCCACAGTGTCACAGGTCAACAGAGGATGTAGTCCTGGTAAATCCATTGAGAGAGGAGTGATTTGTAGATCATGCCTTTCGCCTTGGGTCACATCTAATCCTTGTGTCCTGGACATGGAGAGAGAGCACCTGCTTCCTCAGTTTGACCCCAACTTCATATCCTGAACACGATTCCATGGACCTGTGTATGCTTTCTGCTCCCCATTTGTCCCCACTGCTTCTTTCATGTGGCAAATATACAATTGTCATGATATCATTCCCTCCAATAAAGTCAACCGGAACTTCACCATCACTTGTTTGTTTTCAGGTTCTTGGCGTGGAGTCCAGGATAAAGAGACACCATCTGAAGAAATAAAACCTGCAGGGGTGTTAGAGTTTTGCACTCCTAGGGCAGGTTTGTCTCCTGAGAAGACCCACCCCTGTGCGATATGTATCCCAGTCTTGAGAGACATTTTGCACTTGGCTGAAGAGCAAGGAACAAACCGGGAGCAGAAAGTATACACATGTGCGGCCTGTGGGAAGGAATTCTATTTCACTGCTAACATTCAGCAGCACCAGAAGCAGCACGTTAGAGAGAATCCTTTCCTATGTAATACTGAGAGACCCTCATTCTTGAAGACCTGCACAGTTCACCCAGCAGGAAATTTCTCTACCTACTTGGAGATTGGGAATGACTTCATGGCCATCATGGGAGTTCAGCCACAGGCCACTAATACTGGGAAGAAACTGAACAACAGTAAGGAGTGTGAGGTTGTTTTTCACAGTGGAGAAAGTCATCACAGTTTGGGAGAAGGTAAGATAGTTTCCAGCCACACAGACATACTTGTAGAGGATGAGAGAGTCCTCATTAGTGAGGCATTTTGTGAGGTAAACAAATGTGAGAAAGCTGGCACCCAAAGAAGTAATTTTATTCAGCATGTGCAAGTTCACACTGGAGAAAAGTCTTACAAATGCAGCCAATGTGAAGAATCTTTTAGCCACAAATCCCAGTTCCTTTCACATCAGAGCTTTAATTGTGGAGGAACGCTTTATGACTGCAGTGAATGTGGGAAATCCTTTAGCCGAAGGAAATACCTCATTTCCCATAGGAGAATCCACACTGGAGAAAAGCCTTATGAGTGCAAGGAGTGTAATAAATCCTTCAGACGAAAGGGGAACTTAATTGAACATCAGAGAGTTCACACTAGAGAAAAACCTTATCAGTGCAAACAGTGTGGAAAATTTTTTGCCCGCAAATCCATTTTCCTTGCACATGAGAGAATTCACACTGGAGAAAACCCTTATGAGTGCAACAAATGTGGGAAAGCTCTTACTACTATCTCTAGTTTCTATTATCATCTGAGAGTTCACACAGGAGAACGGCCTTATGAGTGCAATGAATGTGGGAAATCTTTCACTACTTTGTCAACTCTTTCTAATCATCACAGAGTTCACAGTGGAGAAAGACCTTTTAAGTGTAGTGAATGTGAAAAATTCTTTAGCCGAAAGGAACATCTCAGTGCCCATATGAATGTTCACACTGGAGAAAAGCCTTATGAGTGCAATAAATGTGGGAAATCTTTTACAAGTAGGTCAAACCTTTGTAATCATTGGAGAGTTCACATTGGAGAAAGGCCTTTTAAGTGCAGTGAATGTGGGAAATGTTTTACTAGTAGCTCAAGCTTTCTTCGTCATCAGCGGGTTCACACTGGAGAAAGGCCGTACGAGTGCAGTGAATGTGGAAAATCTTTTGTTGCTTCAAGTGGCCTCCGGTATCATCAGAGAGTTCACAATGGAGAGAGACCATATGAGTGCAGTGAATGTGGGAAAAATTTTACTGCTAGGTCGACCCTTCGTGATCATCAAAGAGTTCACACTGGAGAAAGGCCTTATAAGTGCAGTGAATGTGGAAAGTATTTTACTAGTAGGTCGAGCCTTCTTCGTCATCAGAGAGTTCACACGGAAGAAAGGCCTTATGAGTGCAGTCAGTGTGGGCGATCTTTTACTACTCAAACATACCTCTATGATCATCACAGAGTTCACATTGGAAAAGGCCTATGAGTGCAGTGAATGTCGGGAAAACCTTTAAGAAAAGACAGCTCCTCCTCCTCCGTTGGAAAATCCACATTGGATAAAATTGAGTGCAAGGAATGTATTAAATCTTTCACCTGTTTGTGCCACTTGATTAAACAACAGTGTTCACACTAGAGTAAGGGCTTTATGAATATTGCAAATATTGCTGACAGTGATGTTGAAGAAGTTTGAGGTGGTAACAGAGCGTGAAGAACCTGTGCAGCAAATGGACTCTTTCTGCAGAGTGAACTGAGGCACAGAGACTGTATCATCTGTTTGTGATCTCCTTGGAATGAATAGGCATCTGGGATTCAATGCCAGGTTGCCAGGCTTAGGGTTCAGGAGTCTGGTCACTTCTCTCTGCTCTCCTCTCCTCCTCCCCGCAACACACCAGGTTTGAAGACTGAAAGAACACCTTGTCCGTTGTGACCCCTACCCTAGGAGCCCAGCTTAAACACAGCTTCATGCTGATTGGACAGGATTATCTTTTCTCTGCCATCCAGCATTGATGCCTTTCATGTGAATGACCACATTATCTACCCAACTAAACCAGTGCTTTGGTTCAATTATTATTATTGCCATTTGTGAGAGAAGGGGTGTCCAGTTGAGAGATTTAGAAGGACGTGACACCGGAGCTCACTCCTGCCACACCTTTCATGAGCGTGGTTGCTCTACACTGCAAGTGCTTCTCTTCTGCCCCTTAGAGCAGGAACTCCACTTCCTGTGTCCTGACCATAAGCTACACAGACCTGAAACCTGGATTAACCCCGGGAACCCCAGCTTCATTTCCACCTATGCACATCTTTCACTAACAACCTCCCACTTGGAAGGTTCTCAGGGACAGCAGCCTTAAGCCAGGGACTCTAGACTGGCTCATTGGTATTGCCCTAGGTTTGGAACTGGCTCCACCACCATAAGCAGTGATTGGTTTCCAAGGTCCTGTCTACCTTCTTTATATAGCCACCTCAAGATGTCCTTGTTGTCCTGTTATATGGTTGACCACTCATTGTTCTGGGCAGTGGGAAAGACACTGAAGGCCTGAGAATGTCCAGTGTGTCCCTCACATGGCGTGGTCTCCAAGATTATTCTTCGTTTACCCCTTTACCCATCTTCTCACTTTTCCTCCCACCCCTCCAGAAAAATGTAGCTCAGAAGAATAATGTTTGTTTATTAGTATGAACTTGCCCTCCCTACATGATCAGCCTAACTTAAAAACTAGCCCTGAATGCAGACTGACCTCTCCCATAAAGACTAAAACCTCTGTATAAAAAAATCATTATGATTTTAATTGCCTTTTTTCTCAGGATTTTTCCCCCCTTCACTGTGCCATGTGGCTCTGGGATCTTAGTTCTCCTGCCCAGGAATCTAAAATGTGCCCCATGATATGGACATGTGGAATCCTAGCCACTAGACTGCTGGGGAGTTCCCTTTCACTGGATTCTTAGTGTTAATTTTTGTTTTTCATGTGTCTGTTTTTCACCTGTGTGTTCTATTTGGGAAATTTTCTATTCATATTTTGGCCTACTTTTGTTTTCTGAGATTTGTATTTTCTCTTTTTTTTGACAAGAAGGAAAGCAAAGAAAGATCAAAGACATCTGTTAGATGTCACTCATTCACCAGTAATGTGAGTGACTTTTTCTGCATGGAATCATAATTCATAATACTGAAAGTTTATGTTCTAAAGGTTTATATTATGGGTAATGTAATGGCCACATGCATTATACATGTTTTCAATAAATCTGCTTTATTCACATTTGTTACCTTAGTCTTAAGGCCAGACAGTTAATTGCACAGTAAATCAAGCCCTGTTTTGTAGTGTTTGCCCATTTCTTTGGTGTTAATATTCCCATCCTTGCCAGTGTCAAATTGTGAATATAATATCACTGAAATAGAGTTGAGAATTGCCAGTAGCCCACCATGTATGCTTTCTCCCCCTTACAGGTCCAGTATCTGGAAAATATTGTAGGAATGTAGCTAATAAATAATACTAGAATGATTATTGATAGATTTTGCTAAATTGTTTTAAAAATCATTTACTGGATGTCAAGTTCATATAAATTTTACATATTTAAGATGTACATTGGACATACTTGTGTACATCCTTCAAACCAGTTTCCTCTTACCATTTTAAATTTACCTTCAACATTACCATTACTGATGCAAGAGTATAGTCTACTTTAGTAATAACTGTTTTCAAATATATATATATAAATGGAATGACTGATGGACTCTTCTTATATCTTATACCATTTATCATATTTATACACATGATCACTTTTTGTGTTTGTGTATCATGATTTACCTAGTTGTTCTTAAGTTTTATAATCTCAGGTATCATGTTTTTCAATGCATAACTTCTTGGAATGCATTTCTGAAATGAAGCTTTTTCATAACTCCAGTAACTCACACAAGAAAGGATTCTAATTATCAGTGTATATCAGCACAGACTGGGACACAGGGTGACAGAGTTTGAATGCTCACACCCTTTGATGCAGCCTCGATGCACGAACTCGTGTAGCGTAGAATGAAGGAGGTATGACAGAAGTGAGACCTTGTTGAAGAAATACAGTGGGACATGCTGACCCCACACAGCAGGTGTGGGTACAGAATTCATAAACACTCCAGGGAGATTTGGGGCCAGGCATGTGATACAGATGTCCCACACATTGTGGTGTGTGGGCCACACACACTCACACAGTTCTTGTGGATCCTGTGTGATAAGGTGAGTGCAGACAGGCTTGGAAAGAACAAGTTTTGACATCACCACAAGTTTGATGATGAACTGATGTTGTTTAGTTGAGGGACTGGGTCACAAGTGTGTTACAGGTGAAGATTCACAGCTGTGAGCAGCTTTGTTTCACAAGGACTTGGGATTGGGTTTTACAGACGTTATGGGAGGTGTCATTCTTCAGCCCTTAGCGTTTGGACTAAAGTTTGTCACAGATGGGTCCCCAGAAGATACTGGCACTTTCCTTCTGGTTATCTTGATAATTAATAATCATTTGGTGATTTACATTTTTCTGCTGGGTAGGAGGAGCAGTGGAGTGATGAGTGAAGTGGTTAGGAAGAACAGCTGGCGCAGAACAAGAAGGCCTTAGGATTAAGAGGGAAGGCCAGTCCTGTGTGTAGATATAGTTGATTAAGACTGGTTGGGCCAGGGGTTGTTCAGAGAGCTAAAGAACAGCTTATTTGAATGGCCTGATTATACATCGGTATTCTTCAGCAAGTTGGGCACAATAAAAAACCACAGGCAAGAAAGCCCTTTCTGGGGGAGACCAAAAGTAGTGCTTTCCACCTTGTCCACGCACTCAGGCCTGTTCAGTATCTCTTCTATATTCACAGTCAGGGTCCTGGCTGACTTTTTTTCCCCCCTCAGACCAGAAAGAAAAACGAGTAACAGGTTCCCTTGCTGGCTCTTTGAGGGGCCCTGTCTGACATTTTTAGTGTCCCTGGCCAAAGGTTACAAAATGACTTTTTCCCCTGGCTGTGCAAAGGCACTTACTGAATGTTATTTTTTGGACCAGCGCTTGAACCCAGACACATGGCAGGAAACACCCAAGTCCTAATTACTGAACCACCATGGAATTCCCCAAAATAGCTTTAACACTTCAGGCTGCATGCCTTTCAGAAGCATTAGGATAATATTTATTTGCTTCCAGTTTGCACTGGATGTCAACTTGGGTTGACTTTTAGGTGTCTGAGACCATTTGCAAACACTTCAGTAATCAGTGTCATTAAAGACAATGTTCTTAAGCCTTCCTCCTGCCCTGGATCCTCTGCTGCCTAAGGATTGAGCACCTCTGTCACAACAGGTAGTTTTTCAGCTCTCCTACCTCAGCGGTTTTCCTTTTTCCAGTGTTGTTCAGTCGCTCAGTCATGTCCAACTCTTTGTAACCCCATGGAATGCAGCACTCCAGGCTTCCCTGTCCTTCATCATCTCCCGGAGCTTGCTCAGAGTCACATCCAGAGTCAGTGATGCCAGCCAACCATCCTCTTGTCCCCTTTTCCTCCTCCCTTCAGTCTTCCTCAGCATCAGGATCTTTTCTAATTAGCCAGTTCTTCGCATCAGGTGGCCAAAGTATTGGAGCTTCAGCATCAGTCCTTCTAATGAATATTTAGGATTGAATGGTTGAATCTCCATGCAGTCCAAGGGACTCTCAAGAGTCTTCTTCAACACCACAGCTCAAAAGCATCAGTTCTTTGATATTCAGCCTTCTTTATGGTCCAACACTCACATCCATCCATGACTACTGGAAAAACCATACATGACTAAGTTGCTCCACAGCATGTGGGGTTAGTTCTCTGATCATGGATTGAACCAATGTCCCCTGTATTGTAAGACAGATTCTTAACCATTGGGCCACCAGGCAAGTTCCAAAGTGGGTTTCTTGAAGACAACATATGGTTAAGTTCTGCTTCTGGATCCATCCTGAAATCTCTCTTTTAATTGATGTACTGAGAATATCCATGTTTAGTATATTGATGTATACTTGGATTAATATCTAACATATTTGTTACTATTTTCTAAAATTGCCCTTGTTCATTTTCTTTCAATTTTTTTTTTTTTTTCATTTTCATTTTTTGGCTGTGCTGGGTCTTGGTTGCTCCCTGGACTTTCTCTGCTTCCAGAGAGAACAGACTACTCTCTAGTTGTGCTGGCTTCTCATTGGCATGGCTTCCCCTGTTGTGAAGCTTGGGTTCTACAGTGCACTGACTTCAGTAGTTGCTGCTTCGGGGCTTTAAAGCACAGGCTCAATAGTTGTGGTGCACGGACTTAGTTGCTCTGTTTCATGTGGGATCTTCTGGGATCAAGGATTGAACCCATGTCTCCTTCATTGACCGGCAGATTCTTTAC